CCGGTCTACCTCTGTTATCAGTGCTGCTTATCAGCCTTGTCTGAGCTCACTTTCCATCGCAATCCACCTGCATCTTCCTCACTTAAATCAATGATGAGAGGACCACCCGCCATCTGCAAAACCCACATGTAGCCTAAGCTCTGGCAGAATTTAGAATGCTGCAGATTTAAACCAGCGGTGTTTTGTATTCTGGTCCACTTTGCAGGCAGCTGACACACAGCTGAACTGTTGTTCACGTCAGAATTGTGGGGAGCCAGACACAGTGACTTGCAAAAACAGGAACCGAAGTCACGCCACTATGGGTGTGTGGGAATCACGTCTGAAACAACTGTGATTATCCGCATAACAATGATACTGACTTTTTGCGAAGCCACCTAAACATGCTCCCAAAACTGCCGAGTTGCTATTTAACGCATTTATTGATTGGTAGGGTTTGTTCTATTATCTATGCATGCGTTAAGTATCATTGTCATGTTTAAAAATATTGTTCAGTCATATGCAGAAGCACATATCCATGCATGATCCAATATAACGACCACTTACCTGATAAGATGATCCCTCAGCTACAGTGATTTCAGATGGAGCGCCGCCGACTTGACAGACTGACCGAGCAGACACTGGAGCCTATATGTTTGCTCATCGGTTGGATCATCCATGACTTTTGGACATGGGGAGAGTAAACAGAGCGCGGAGACGTCCTCGCGGCACCAGGCAGCTCACCTCGCCACCAGCAGCGGAGCCGGCGGAAGTGATCATCACAAACTCAAAGCCCCGCAGCCTGTTTGGAAAGTGCTGCAATGTGACAGCATGGGAAAGGAGTGTCGTTTTATGTGCAGCAGTGCAACTTGGATATGTTTAGTAAAAGTAACAACACCACAGTGAGGAAACACTCTGCTACATGTGAAAGTCCTGCATGCAACACTTTATGTATTTAAATTTAAAAAAAAAAAGCAGCATCAACATGTACTTAAAATACAAAAAAAAACACTCATCATGTAGAAAAGTCTATTTCAGAATAATATATCTTATTTTATTGAATTATGATCATTAATTGATTCATGTATACGTCACTTTGATGTTGCAGATGGTTAATATGGGGCTATAACACACATATATATATAAATAAAGATATGTTATTGGCAAAGCCTTTAATAAAAAATAGCTAGATAAATAATAAAAAGAATAAAAAAGAATAAAAACAAAAACAAATAAATAAAATACAAAATAAGTAGATAAATAAATAAATAAATACAAGTAAAAAATAAAAAGAAATCAACATGTACACACTCACATCACATATGTTTATATTCAATTCAAATAGCTTTATTGCATCGGCATTTATTGGCATTTATTGCCTAAGTGTTTCATAAATAATAAATAAATGATAAAAAAACAGAATAAAAACAAAAACAAATAAATAAATGAATTAAAAAAGTAGATAAAGTAAAAATGTATAAAAATAAATAAAGTAAAAATGTATAAAAATAAATCAATATATCATATTTTACATGTTGCATACATTCACACATTACATATTTAATATACAGGTATCACATACATATACACTCATAAATACACATATACATAATGTATATATTTCACCTTAATATCTATATTTCACTTTAAATACAACAACCGGGCAGCTTGTGAAATCCTCCCTGCAGATCAATAAAGTCTTATTGATATTATATCATAGTTCAATTGTTGATATAGTTTGTACTGTTACATCAGTCTGAACTTGGAAAGTAATTCAAGTTATTACATAAATGTAGTGGAGTAAAAAGTCTAACAATTGCCTCCAAGATGGAGTGAAAAGCATTTCAAAATTGTACTTTAGAATGGTGCTTGAGTACGGTAACTTTCCACCACTGCCAATTCAAATGCAATATTATAAAAGAGAGATGGGCAGGCAGTAACATGTGGAAGGTCTGTTGTAAAATGTGGGTATGAAGTTACACTGAATATTCTTTTCTATGAATGAAGCATAAAAAAGGGTTACAATTGAGCTTTGGTTAAAGTTAGGGAAAGGATTAGACATTTAGTGGTTACGGTTGCGGTTAGGATCTCCAGGGAATGAATGCCAGTTTGTGTGTGTATGTGTATGTGTGTGTTTGTGTTGGTGTGTGTTGGAGTGGGTGTGGAGGGTGGCAGCCTATGAGACTCAACTGATCCGAGCCACCCCTGTCAGAGTTGAGCAGCAACACATGGTGCTTGGTGGGTCATTCACCCTGTAATCTCAGAGTCTGACTGCAGCTCTGAGGTCCTCTGGTATCTGACACATGTAAGCACCAGTGCAATCTCAGAATCCATCAGCTAATACCTGCCGATAAAGAATACACATGCAGATATCTGTTTATTGAGATACTAGTTAGACCCATTTATTGTGTCTAGAAGACACTTTAGAGGGTAACCTCCTCTGATATTTAATGTTTGGCAGCCTGGTTTTCCATGAGATCACAGGATATGTGAACTGACACATTCACTGTATTTCCTGCATTGGCAGATCTGAACCACAGGGTTGCACTGTTGATACAGGACACAAACAGGATCAGAACAATTACTTAATGCTCCTTTGATTTTATGACTATTTAAAACACCAAAATCCCCAAAATGCAGATTGAATTCATATTAAAACATGTTTAGATGGTTAAATTAACTCTTGGATGGCCTCTTTCAGATTTGTATGAATGGGAAAAAAACTTCTTTTAAGCTTCATCAAATGTTAGTCAAAAAAATGTTAGAACTGTGCATGCTGCTAAGCTTTACCACCTCACATAAGCTAATAGGTGCAATATTCTACTACAGTGCGTTTGGGCAATGCGTTTTTTCATGACTCTAAATATTTAGTAAGTAATTTTTAGTAGTTCTGTGATTTTATATGCTTTTATATGACTTCATATGTTGCTACGTAAGTGTGTATGGGCATGTAAATTTGCACTGATCAGATGTGGCACTCTAATTTCGTTGCACTATGTGTAATGACAGTAAAAGCATTCTATCTCTATATTTACAAGGGAAGGATGGAAAATGCATTTTGGCAAAACTCTGGACTTGCAAGTATCTAAAAAAAGTGTGACCTGGGGATATTATAATTTTTACATATGTATCGATAAACAGGTCAGAAAAAAATAAGACCATTTGTTTGCCAGAACTTGAACTCTGAGCGTATTTTTAATTGTGACGGAAGGATTAGGTTAGGCTAGGTTAGTGGAGAAAAAATGCTTGATTGCTTAAGGTTAAAATGCCTTCTAACTTGATTTCAGATTCTAAAGGAGTCTTTAACAATTGAATTTGCAATGTGGATATCTGGATTTGGAGGTAGTGGAGAGGTCAGGAGTGATACTGGGGAAACTGGAAGGCTGGACTGTAGCTCCATGAGTGAGAGGTGCACACATTCTGACCAGTTTATGTGTGGGAAAAGTTTTTTGTGCGTGCACATTGTTAACATGTCTGGCCTCAGATATAATGATGCAGAATATACTTTAATCAGAAATCAGATTGTAGAAATTATAGACAGGTGGCACACAAAACATATAAAAGCTTTATAACTCCATGGCGTGAGACCTACTTGAGCAATTTAAAGCGACACTTACCTTTCTGGAAATTCTACGCTTTTCTTTGTTTAGGTTAAAATGCTATTAATAAGCTGATGGCACACTAAAATGTAAGTGAATTCCACCAGAGATAAAAACTCATAATTATACCATTCTCATATGGTTCAAAGAAAACTCCGACAAATCATTGTATTCGGGCCAAATGCTATGATTGGCTGAGCATCCTGTCTGTCTTCCCCACGTGGAGGCCTCTGACTGACATAACCGCTCACGTAACAACCCCGTCACCAGTACTATCTAACGTTAGTGTTAACGCTATATTATAAAACTCATCAGTCATCACTGACCCCAGATAAGTTTCAAAACTCTGTGGTTGCGTTTGACTGTGCAGGACAGGTAACGTTATGTTTAGTCTCCTTCTAATATAACATATAACTGCTTCTAATATAACATATAACATGTAGCGTAGCCTCCAGAGGTGGGTAGTAACTAGTTACATTTACTCAGTTACATTTACTTAAATAACTTTTTGGATAAATTGTATTTTTCAGAGTAATTTTAATGCAAAATACTTTTTACTTTTACTTGAGTTATATTGTTTTAATGCAACAATACTCTTACTTGAGTACAATATTTGGCTACTCTACCCACCTCTGAGTACATAATTACATATAAATATATATATATAAATATATATATATGTACAGTATATATAAGAATATATTTGTGTTTCTTGTGCCTTGATTTATGTTATGTTTGTAAAGATTTCATTTATTTATGTTTTAGTTAAAGGGGTATCGTTTAAAATATATGAATTTGCAGATTATTATTTTTGATTGACTGATTACATTCATGTTCTTATTTTACAAATAAATCAAACGTTACTCAACAGTTACTCAGTACTTGAGTAGTTTTTTCACCAAATACTTTTTTACTCTTACTCAAGTAATTATTTGGATGACTACTTTTTACTTTTACTTGAGTAATGTTGTTCTAAAGTATCAGTACTTTTACTTGAGTACAGTATTTGGCTACTCTACCCACCTCTGATAGCCTCTGAAAGATTAACGTTATCTTCCTTGTGCGTTTCCACTTACTAGTGACGTTAACGCTACTGTCTAACACTGTAACCTTATTCTAAAACTCATCAGTCATCACTGACTCCTGTTGAGTTTTAAAACTCCGGGGTTGCGTTTGACTGTCTTGGTTGCAACATTACACTCGCTCTCCTCTTCCGTGTATCTAACGTTACCATGCCAGCGCCTATGTCTATCATAGATGTAATGAGGATGTAATGGAGGAAGGGGGGAGTAGGCCTTTGGGGGGGGTGGAGTTGTGAATGTTCAAATTTTTTCTAAGTGCTGTGTGAAATGCAAGAAAGGTAAGAGATGCTTTAAGTCGACTGAACATAAAATCATTGCACATACGACACGTTAACAAGTCATGCTAGTTCAACAGATAGTCATTTAATACAATGGACATATGAACAATGAAAGATCTTGAAGCTGACATGAAACAGTCAAGTTTGTTTAACAAATAAGTATCCAGTGCATTGAACATGAATAAATCATTTTCAGTAAACGTGATTTTAATATGTGTACCTGATGAACATATTTTTTTTCATGCTAATCCAACAGATTCTTTTGTCAGTAGGCTATGGGCTGGTTGGTCCTTCTGTGGTTAAGAGTTTCCTAGAAATGACAATAAAAAAGGACACACAGACACATTAGAGAAGGCAGTATGTCACTCATACTCAATACTGATGTCAAATAGTGATTCACTGAATGGTTAGTAACTGGATAGTCATTATATTCTGAAGATGAGGCTGGGGTTCATGTCTGTAAATCTACTCACAGTCGAGCCATGAGTTTTTGCATATCCTTCAAATTGGGGTTCAGGCAGTAGTGACGGCCGGTGTATTTGGTGACGCTGGTGAAACAAAGTTAGTAAATAAACAGGAGTTCATTATTATTTTCATTACAGCTTAGGCCAGACTTGGATTAAAATGCTGTTCAAGGTTGTCAGGTTTACTGAGGACGATACAAGCTTCCTATTAGCACACACACACATAACACACGCACAACGCATGCAAATAGCAAATCAGCATTTTTCAGTTGCATTAACATACTGCATTCCCAAAACCTTGCAAACCTTGATTAAAGATTTGAGTTGTCACAGGAGGGGTTTGGTTCATTGATCTTGATGTCCTGTATCTCAGATGTCAGGCCAATAGCATTCCTCACACGCTGACACATACAGGACTGTGCTGGTTCTTGGGACAGCCAAGAAGACAAGACAACATTTTTTAGTAATTTTACTGCACAGATTTCTGCTCACAGCTACCAAACCTCATGTTGTCTATGTTAGAGCTGCGAATACTGAAAAAAGCTTTAAAAACTTACGCTGGGCTTTAGAGATGCAGACCATGACAGCCAGGAGCAGAAACACTTTCATGATCCTGGACATTGTCGGTTTCCTCTTTGGTCAAGATGACACTGGTGCTGGAAGAAATCTTGTTTCTTGTGATGAAGATGATAGCAGGGAGCTGTGGCAGATATTCAACCTGACAGATCAGCTAGAGTCAAACAGAGCAAAGTGTGTGTAGTATTACAGCCTATAGGACTCGGTACATCTGAGCCGCCCCTGTCAGAGTTAAGCGGGAACACATGTTGTTGGCGGGTTATTCACCCTGTAATCTCAGAGTGTGTCTGCAGCTTTGAGGTCCTCAGATATATGATATATGTATATACTAGAAAGACAAATAATTGTACCGAGCTGACACTTTAGAGGGTAACTGCCTCTGATATTTAATGTTTGGCCTTCATTCTGCACGAGATTGATATGTCAACTGGCAGGGTGCAAAGTACAGGGAAGCCACACGTGCGAGCCACTGGCGGTGGATAAACAGGAAACAGTTGATAGCAGGAATAAGCAGCTAGTAGCAAGAGGGAAACGCAAACCTGACAGACACTGTAAAGATGAGGAACTGGGGAGACAAAGAATTCCACACCCTCCTTGGCCTCGCAAACAAAGAGGCCATTAAGCTGAAAAAAAAATTAAATATATATATATAAATGAAAAATATTACAATCAATTCAATCAATTTTATTTATAAAGCCCAATATCACAAATCACAATTTACCTCACAGGGCTTTACAGCATATGACATCCCTCTGTCCTTATGACCCTCACAGCGGATAAGGAAAAACTCCCCAAAAAAACCCTTTAACGGGGAAAAAAAACTGGTAGAAACCTCAGGAAGAGCAACTGAGGAGGGATCCCTCTTCCAGGACGGACAGACGTGCAATAGATGTCGTACAGAACAGATCAGCATAATAAATGAACAGTAATCCGCATGACACAATGAGACAGAGAGAGAGACAGAGAGAGAGAGAGAGAGAGAGAGAGAGAGAGAGAGAGAGAGAGAGAGAGATGCAGGACAGACGGTAACGACAGTAGCTTACAACAACATTAATGAAAGTAATAATATTATCGTTATAGTTCTGGCTACTGTGGTACAATATGTTGAAAGTATGTATTAATATCTGACAGTATACTTGTGTGACAATAGTCATATGTATATAATAACAGTAGAAGTATGACTAATGACTAATGATGGCAGCAGCAGCAGGAGGCATCTGGCAGGACCACGGCAGCAGCACAACCACACACGTCACGCTATCCAGGCACCGCTGCGATACGAGTTAACCTGAGAGACAGTGGAGCACAAAGGCTCCAGAGAAGAAGCCGAGTTAGTGACATCCAGAATGGCCGAGTTAGCAAGATGCAGTAATAGAATACGAGAGAGAGAGAGAGAGAGAGGGAGAGAGAGGGAGCCCGGTGTATTATAGGGGGTCCTCCGGCAGACTAGGCCTAAGTCAGCCTAACTAGGGGCTGGTACAGGGCAAGCCTGAGCCAGCCCTAACTATAAGCTTTATCAAAGAGGAAAGTCTTAAGTCTAGTCTTAAATGTGGAGACGGTGTCTGCCTCCCGGACCGTAACAGGAAGATGATTCCACAGGAGAGGAGCCTGATAGCTGAAGGCTCTGGCTCCTGATCTACTTTTGGAGACTTTAGGGACCACGAGTAACCCTGCGTTCTCAGAGCGCAGTGTTCTGGTGGGATAATATGGCACTATGAGCTCACTAAGATATGACGGAGCTTGACCATTTAGAGCTTTATAAGTTAACAGTAGGATTTTAAATTCAATTCTGGATTTTACAGGGAGCCAGTGCAGAGAAGCTAAAACAGGAGAAATATGATCTCGTTTCTTAGTTCCTGTTAATACACGTGCTGCTGCATTCTGAATTAGCTGGAGAGTTTTTAAGGACTTACTAGAGCTACCTGATAATAGAGAGTTACAGTAATCCAGCCTTGAGGTAACAAAAGCGCAGACCAATTTTTCTGCATCTTTTCGGGTCAGGATAGGCCTACTTTTCGCAATATTACGCAGATGAAAAAATGCAGTCCGTGAGGTTTGTTTTAAATGAGAATTAAAAGACAAATCTTGATCAAATGTTACTCCGAGGTTTCTTACGGTAGTGCTAGAGGCCAGAGCAATGCCATCTAGAGAAACTATGTCATCAGATAAAGAGTCTCTGAGTTGTTTGGGGCCAAGAACAATAACTTCAGTTTTGTCTGAATTTAACATCAGGAAATTGGTGCTCATCCAAGTTTTTATGTCTTTAAGGCAGTTATGGAGTTTAGTTAATTGATTACTTTCTTCTGGCTTCATTGATAAATACAACTGTGTATCATCCGCATAACAATGGAAATTTATAGAGTGATTTCTAATGATGTTACCTAAAGGAAGCATATATAGAGTAAATAGGATTGGTCCGAGTACAGAACCTTGCGGAACTCCAAAACAGACTTTGGTACGTAAGGATGATTCATTATGAACGTCAACAAACTGAAAACGATCAGATAAATAAGATTTAAACCAGCTTAGTGCAGAACTTTTTAAGCCAATTAAATGTTCCAGTCTCTGCAGTAGAATTTGATGGTCAATTGTGTCAAACGCCGCACTAAGATCTAATAAAACAAGTACAGAGACAAATCCTTTGTCTGAAGCAATCAGAAGGTCATTTGTAATTTTACCTAGTGCTGTCTCAGTGCTATGATGCACTCTAAATCCTAACTGAAATTCCTCAAATAAATTATTATCATGGAGAAAATCACACAGCTGGTCTGCAACTACTTTCTCAAGGATCTTTGACATAAAGGGAAGATTAGATATTACCTGTTAAATATATGATAATTCTTCAAAAGCATGATTTTATTGCTGAAATTTAGTTGTTGGTTTTTGTTTTGGTGTGCCACCATAAGATTTCCAGGGGCCCCATCTGCCCCCCGCCCCCTATGAATGATTTCTGGGGGCACCACTGGCATTGGCAGCTCTGAACCACAGGGTAGCGCTGTTGATGTAGGACACAAACAGTATCAGACTTGGAACAGAAAACAGTCACTCGCTGCTCCTTTGATTATCTTTTAATTAAAAAACACTGAAATTAGCAAAATGCAGAAAATTTGGGTTACAGTACATATATCTATATATCTATATCTATATTTATAAAATCAAATGAAAGAAAAGAGAAAGGAAATATACTGTCAGTGCACATCATAGACGGTAAATAGACAAAAAGTTTCATTCATTTCACATCTGCATTGCTTGTCGCAGAGGAAACTTTTTTAGCTGCGCTTGTAGCACAGTAACACACAACCCCTGAGCCAGAGAACGAGTCGCTGTGCAGCATCAGACTCTTGTTAGCAGTTAAATCAGTAGCACAAAGCACACATACCCCCCAAGCTGAAGAATGAGCTGCTCCGCAGTGACAGCCTCTTCGCAGCTAACCCAGAAGCACACAGTCTATGGTTGCACCACACACACCCTCAGAACAAGGGAGAAAGAGCCGCTGCACAGCGACAGCCTCTCATTCAGCAGAGACCAAAAAGTGCATACCATTTTCATACCATCTGGGCAGCTTGTAATGCATTATCTTCTGTTATAGACTATCTTTGGTAGTATTTATACACTAGGGAGGGGTTATGATAGGAGCTACTCCAGTGCATAATCGAGCAGGCTTTAACGCGCGTCAAAAACATCCCGGACACAGAAATGGTGAAAAACAGTTTAAAAGTCTAACTACTTTCTAACACCTAGAATGTGTTTAGAAAAAAAATAACTGATTGTGCTTTACCTGGATTTTAATGTCAAACATTAAACTTTTGTCAATATGGAAATGCTCCACATTTTAGCTTGATTAGATTCTCCACAACTCAAGTACTCACTATACAGAAAGCATGAGCACCAAATATAGTTCATTTAGATTTACCGGTGTGGTAAACAAGAGAGATGAAGAAAAAGCGCTGATCCCTATCTGTGAAGCCAAATCCCCCCCAATACATGTCATAATTAAGGCCTTATCTCTTACACAATCTCCATTTTGTCACATAAGATGGTTGCTTGGTAAATCTGGACGTCCTTTATGTCAGACATTGAGTTGATTTTATTCCTGACACGCTGACACAGACACTGTCCTGTTTCACGCTCTACAGAGAAAGACATGGGGAAAAACGATTAATTTAATTACATTTTTACCCTGCACAGATATTCCTGCTTACAGCTACCAAAACATATATGAATGTATAAAATGATCTTCACGTTGTCTATATGTGAGTTGTAAATGAAGAAAAAGAAAAAAACTTACTGTTGGCTTTAGAGATGCAGACCATGACAGCCAGGAGCAGAAACACTTTCATGATGCTGGACATTGTTGCTTCCTGTTTGGACAAGATGACACGGGTGTTGGAAAAAAATGTGTTCCTTGTGATGAAGATGATAGCAGGGAGCTGTAATAAATGCAGGTACAAGATAGCTAGAGGCAAAGAGAGCACAATTTGCTGCAGGGGAACTGTGAGGGGCAGAGGGTGGCACTTCAGACACGTACCTTATCATACTTCCTGTGATCAAGGGAAATGTGTTCAAGACTGCAAAGTGAAACTTTAGAAACCACAAAAAAGCACTCTTTTCAGTCTTCCTGTGGTTATGTTGCTAATTATTTAACCATACTTTAGATTTCAAAAGGACATTTTAATAGTAGTAAGAGTTTAAAAACAGCGGTATAAACTGCACCTGCATGTGCAAGTAAACTCTGACATCAAACCATACTTCCTCTGTGTGTGTAAATTGTCATAAAAAAAGCAAACTTTACCAATGATACCAGTAAGGTTACCCCAAATTGAAAGCCAAATGAAAAAGATAGATTTCTGAAAATAAGACGTGACACTTGTGTATCTTTATAATCATGAATCATGCTTAGAATTGGGTTATTATTGATGCATGACCCATGCATGAGGGTGATTCATCCATAATTCACTTTAAAACAGATATTGGCATTGACTGTATTGACTGTAAAATATACTATAATTCTTCAACAGCATAATCTTATTCCTTATATTGAGTTATTGGTTTTTGTTTTGGTGTGCCACCCCAAGATTCCCAGGGGCCCCATCTGTCCCCCCCTATGATACATTTCTGGGGGCACCACTGGCATTGGCAGCTCTGAACCACAAGGTAGCGCTGTTGATATAGGACACAGACAGTATCAGCCTTGGAACAGAAAACAGTCACTCACGGCTCCTTTGATTATTTTACATCTTTATTAAAAAAAACTGAAATTAGCAAAATGCAGAAAACTTATACTGCAGATATACTGTAAGTGCACAGCAGTATAATAGAGGGTCAACAGACAAAATGTTTCATTCATTTCACAATTAATTTGTTTAAGGTGCTTCTGTTTGGGGTTCAGAGGTCATCTGAGCTTCTTTAT